TTTTTATTTGGGCAGAATATGATCGGACAAAAGGAGATACGGTTGGTTAGGTTATTGAGATTTGCCATGGCTGTCGTCTGACAATATCATTGATTCCATCTACAAATGCTTTGTATTGTTTATTAATAATAAAAATGGAGATATGATTCGAGGGAGAGTGAGTCCCGTTACGGAATCATTCCGTCGAGATTTGTAACCGTTAGATCAATTGTTCCCGACGATTACATGATGATCTAGCGGTTATGAATTCTGAAGGAATGGTTCCGTAACATACTATAACATCTCCCTTATTTTATGACGATACAGTGCTTAAACCCAATAGATTAAGCAAAAGAAGGGTTTAATATTCTGCCGGCGCCCGCAATTGGCATTAAACGTTCACACTTATAAAGAAGAAAAAGGAGGAGGGGCTTTACTAGTTACGAAATTTCAAAAGATTTGTTAACGAAGGTTATTGCTTTTAACAAGGGTGTGACATGTCACTGTATGTATGTGTCGGGTTTTGGGTCTGTATCCGATTTTGACATTTTACTGTTGGCCTTTTGAAACTTTGAGAAAATATTTAACAATTAGTATTACTGTGATAATAATGTCAAGCACTCACAATTCACAAATAGTTTTACATTTCTTTTTTGACATATCTTCAGAATACAAATAGATACAAAGACGAGAGGTGATTGGATTTTACTAGGTTGATGTGATCGAATTATCGACCCACCAAGATTTTCGGTTGATCCGCATTGTCTCGATCGTTTTGAAACACAAACCGAATCAATCTGCAAAACAACGCCAAGAACTGAACTCTGCAGACACTCCGTAGACACTCAGACGTTCAAGTCAGAAATCGTACGTATTTTCTTAATATCATGATAAAGAGAGTTATTCAGAGCGTAGGTCTAGAAAATATAGTAATGTTCATGATGTAGGGAAAGCTTACGAATGGGAAGGATAAATAAACGAGTAAACGAGATACTCTCTCGTAAAACACGTAAAACTCAACAATATCTTTATTTCATTTCAAATTCAACTAAATAAAACAATAGATAATGCGTCCTTCTTTAAATAAGGTTCATAACCATATTCCTAACTTGTCCAACAAGACAAGATCTCTTATAATAATATTAAATAATAATACTAAATTCCTAACTTATTCTCTAAGACACCTATTAAATATTAATAAAATAATAATAATAATAATAATAATAATAATAATAATAATAATAATAATAATAATATATCCGCATCATTTATCCTTCCCATTCGTAAGCTTTCCCTACATCAGTTGGTATCAGAAGTCAGCACGATTCAAGATGCCGCCGCAGAAGGACGACATCGACGGG